TCCTCCATTACTGACTTTATTGTAAGCTCATTTCTCGCGCAGTTCAGTTGCTGTACGATAGCCGTGGTCCTTTTGGTGTGGCTCATTGGGTGTTATCCATGTCTGCGTCTTCTTGTGGGGGGTCTTGGGCCGGGATGACAATAGGTATTGGTAGCGGGCTTGGGTTTGTGTCTGGTCCAAGTTTGTTTGTAATGCGGATTTTAGTGCGTTCTGGGCAGTTGGCGTCTGTTGCTTTATGGGGAGCCTTGCAGTGGTAGCATCGGATGGGTGTATGGATACATTTGGTACCTCCTGAGCATTCGGGGCATGTGTGTTCCTTTGTTTGGTGGTCTTCAGCGCAGTGACCACATCTCCCAGTTTGGTGGGAGCATCTTTCGTGTCGGTGTCCGTACTCTAAGCATTTGGAGCATTGGGTTTCTGGGTTGGCTGGGAGGTAGTTGTCGATTTTGCATTGACGGTCGAATAAGGTGAGGTATCTCAGTCCGAGGTTATTCTTTGTGTATTGTCCTGGGAGTGCGATGATCATTGATGAGTGTGTTTTCCCCATCCTGGCTTCGGGTCTGCTGAGCCATCTGGGGATTTGTGCCATTTCGAATGTAGTTCCGTAGTTGCTTCTGAGTTCTGAGGCCATTATCTGTCCTGCTTCATAGCCATCTCCGATTGTTGTGGGGATTCCGTGTATGATGAATTTAGACCATCTGGAATTAACTTTAATGTCAACAAAGGGGACTGTGAGTTCTTTCATGGCTGTTTCGATTTCTTGTTTGTATTCGAAGACTTTCGAGGCGGGTGTGGCGAATTTGGTTTCTAGAACTATGTTGTTTTTTGAAGTTTTCCTGGCGGCGATGAATTGGCAGTCCGGGTTTTCGATTTTGGAGTTGATTCTTATCCTGATGTCAGAGGGGGTGGCTGGTGATTCCTTATTCGTTTCGATGACAATTTCTCTGTTGATCTTGGTGACTTCCGGTTTGAATAGGGGGTCTGCTTTAGGCTTGGGTTTCCTCTTGTTCGTGACAATGGTGTATTCCGGGTTGGCGTCTCCTGCAGCAATGGATGCATACGATTTTGGTGCTGGTGGGGTTGGTGTTTCTTTGCCTTTTCCTTTCTGTTGTTGGGCATGGTTCGGGTTGTTGGCGTGGTTCAGGTTGTTGGCGGATGTGGTGATAGGGATGGTGGTGGCAGCGGCAACGGCGGCGATTACGGAAGCTCTTCCTTCGTTGACTGCTTGATTGCTAGGTCTGTTGACGGAGAGGTTGGTGAGCTGTTGTTGGAGGCGGTGGAGTTTTTCGGAGGTTGTGTCTTGGTTTTTTGTCATTTCAAACATTTGTTTGGCCAGGACGTCGACGGTGTGCTTAAGGGTTTCGTTTTGGAGGGACAGGACTTCAATGGTAGCTTTTAGGTCCTTGTTGATCTGCTCGGTTGTTTGGTTGAGGGGTTCAAGTGCTACAGTGAGGACATTTCTAATTACCCAGGAGACGTAGTTTAGGTCCATTCTGGAGTGGGTTTCTTGGGGGACGATGCTGGGGTGGATGTAATCGTACTTTGGGGTGTATGGTTCATTGTATTGGGTATGTTCAGCGAAGATGGAGAAAGGTTCGTTACCAAGTTGGGTTTGTTCAATCGTGGTGGATTGTGTTTGTTGGGTTGATTGGGTGTTGGGGAAGCGGGGGGGTGCCGGAGTTCCTGGTGGGGGTGCTCCTGCGAACCAGGAGCTCAACGAGGCTTGTTGGGACATCACTGATGTTCCGGATCGGGTTGGGTTGGGAAAGACTTCTGATAAAGTTCTCTTCCTGTCCGCGGAGTTTGGGGGGTTGGGTGGGTTCATCAGCAAGATTTTATATATTCATAAGTCTCCCAACAGTCTCCCGGGTCTCCTGAGGTTCCCCTGAGACATCAAAACGGATTTTGATTCTCTGGAGACACAGGAGACACTTTACAGAAATTGTTAAGCTTGCTGATGTTTGGTGAGGCCAGGTTGTTGTTTTCGCTACGGTCGCGAGGCTTAAGCGAGGGTTGAGGGGTAAGGAGTTCACAACTCAGGGACTAGAGCGTGAATAACTTCACGTACGAACAGATGTACGATAAGATACCAATAGATTACGGAGTCTATTGACATACAGGATCGTGTTCGAGTAAAAGTTTTATCGAGAATGCAGGCCAAAAGTTATTGTTGTTCGAAAGTTTTGGTGTTGCGAGGGGTAGATACAAAGGTTCCGTGAGGAGAAGAGGAAAGGAAGGAAAATATCAAAAGGCACGAGACAACGCCCCCTTATATATCCAACTCCTAGTCCGTTGATGACTAATACTCCGTGTAATGGAAACCGAAAGAACACAACAGAAACCCCATTGCAAATCCTAACTCAACTGCGCAATACCTCCTTCTCACTATCCAATCTATCGCCTTAGCCAGAATACAATATTGCCGTTACAGATACCCACGTTAGATATCTTTTGAGGGACTGGTGCGGCCTTCCTATTCTTTGAGGATGGTGTATCAATCCAAAGGAACCAAAATGAGGATTGCCTTACCTTGAGTAGGTATGACAAATGCCTCAGCTCTGTGAGCATTGGTGAGTGCTCCGGGAGCACTCGTGGAAACCCTCGCGGGAGCATTCACGCGAGCATTCGCGGGAGCATTCGCGGTGCCGTGAGCGCATTCGCCATGCCGTGAGCGTATTCGCCGTGCCGTGAGAGCATTCGTCATGCCGTGGGAGCATTCAAGAAAACTGTGAGAGCATTGGGAAGTGCTCGCGTGTACTACTGACGTAATCAAAAGAAGCAAAAGTTCCTAGGTGCTGTGGGTGGAGTCACTCCATACTAGCGTCTCCGGAGGGGGAGGGAATCTCATGGCGACCCATGCGACCAGAGCATTGGCGAGTGCCGCCCGGACGTGAGCCATATCTCCTGGCGGTTCCAGAGAGTGGGACGGTCCTGCGGCGGAGCCTGGCGCGTAGGTTGTACTCTGGCGGTGCCGAACGTGCTGGGCGCTCGTGGTGCAGAATGCCCGCCAGGACGTAGGGGCTGCGCCCTGGGTAATAGGCGAGCTTGCTGATGTAACTTGTTTACTTCTTTGTTGAGGGGGGCTATATAAAGGTTAAAAAGGATTGGTGATGCAGGACCTCCTTGCGGTATCCCTGTTTCCACCATATGCTCTTGTCTCATCTCTCCGTCAAATCTTAGGTGGACTCTTCTGTCACTTATAAAGCTATATATACATTGTGCCAGTCTTTCATCGTTTCCTTGTTCATATACGATATTTGGCAATTTCGCTTTGCTTACGTTCGGGAAGGCTTGAGTGATATCCATTGCTACCAACACAACCTTCTCGCCCTCTTCTTTTCTATTCTCTGCACAGTCCAGCGAATGTCCTAAGCACTCCTCCGCTGATCTTTCCTTTTGCCCGCGCCATTGGTGTGTGCTGAGTACTCTTTGTTCTCAGATTTCTGCCAGCCTGCCTGTGCATAGCCTTTCCAATCCCTTCCCTAATATAATCAATAGTGAGATTGGTCTATGTGCCTTGGCCTTCGAGTAGTCTGTCTTTCCTGGTTTTGGGATGATTGTGCTTATGGCTTTCTTCCACGCGGTTGGGTGATAGCCTTGGTTGAGTGCTAGTTGATATACTTCCGTTATTAGGTTTCGGATTTCCGACCAGAGTTCTTTCAGCGCGATAAAGCAGATGGCGTCCAGGCCGGGTGCCTTATAGTCTCCTTGTTTCCAGATCGCTGCCACCACCTCCTCCTCTGGCAGGATATATTTAGGTTGTTTGTCATGTTGGGGTACCATCCTAACGGTATCTGTATCTTTTGGCACTTTACGGAAGAGTTGTTGTATAAAGATCTCTTCCTTTTCTTTAAATTTGACCGCCGTTTTGTTTTCATGCTCGATAGTGGGCGTTTTGGCATATCGTTTCTTACACAATAGTCTCTATACTCCCATAAGTCGTTGCCTTGTGCTTCACGCACAAACTTGTCCCACTATTCTTTCTTTTTCTTTCTTATTTCCCAGAAATAATCATTTCTTTTCAACGTCCACTCAGCGTTCCTTGTTTCCGATTCTTCGCTTTCTCTTTCCCCCACCCTGCACCACCTACGGCATCTCGCCATTTCTTTTCTTTTTTCCTTTATCCTATAGTGGAACCATTTCTTGCTTCTCCAGCTTCTTCTTGTCTGTGGAACTCCTTCTTCGATTGCCGCCAGTATGATTGTTTCTATGATTTTTGACATTTCATCCACGTCCTCATTATGTTGAGCCCTTTTCCATTCTTCCTTTAATCTTGAGCGTTGTTCTGTGGCTGCATCTATTGCCTTTTTCCAATCTGCCTTTCTGAAATTATACTGGCTTTCGAGGGGGTTGTATGTCTCTTCCAGATTTGCTTTTCCGATTCGTAGCCTTATGAGCGAATGATCTGATCCAGTATCCTCCGTCTGCACTAGCTCCCGCTTGGTGAGAAGGTGAATGCTATTGCTGCCCATGCTAGGTACAATACAGACTTTCGGTTCCCTCTTTGCCACGTTGTTAAATCTGGTGTGTTGAGGAGCGTGAGGCTGTGGTTTTTCACCATGTCCATAATTTCGTCTTCTCTGATTAGTTCCGACACTGAATCCCATAACTTTCCTTTCGCATTAAAGCCCCCCACGATTATCGTTTGTTGTCCTTCGCAAATGTTGGCGGGTATTCTTCTTATACACCATCCTTCTCGGCTGCTGTGTGTCTGGTTGTAGATATTTATAATTCGAAGTGCCGTTTGGTTACCTTTTGTCAATATGTCGATAACACCTGCATCCCAGTCCTTCCACAGGTCGTCTCTCACCGCATATCTAATGCCTTTGTCTTTTCTCACCATCCACATCACTCTGCTTTTCTCTCCATCCTTTCCGGGTCTGTATACTATGTCTAGGTTGCTATTTCCGACGGTGATTTCCCCGTTTCCTAATTCCACTGCCCCTTCTATTGTTCTTTTCGCTCTTGCCTTTCCTATATATGGCTCTTGTATTGCTATTATGTCCGCCCTTCCACCATGGGAAGCCATGGAGCACTACGCGGCGGGTTCTGGTTGGAAGCGCGTCGAATCGAACGGTGACCGCCGCGAATTGAAGATTGACCGCCTTGAAACAAAGGTTGACCGCAACGGGGCTGAGATCCAATACGTCAAGTCCATCGTTGTTGAAATCACTCTTCTCACCATGAGAGCGATTGATGGCGACAGAAAACCCCTGCGGCAGTGGGTGTGGGTCGTTGGGCGATGCCTGGAGACCGGTGGCAAAGGACGTGGCTCAGTCAAGAAAGAATAGTTTGCTCGATCGGGAGTTTGCTTGGGAACGAGGAAGTGCTTGGTTGGTTTGTGAACGGAGTAAATTGACTTTACTAGACAAGAATAGCGCGCTGAAAAGGTAGGTACTTGACGACTGGGGTGTTTTACTAGCGACAAGATGTACCTACACTAATATTACCTATGGACACGTAGTGATCTACTCATGTACTTTGTGCTGAAAGGAAGAAGCATTTATGCTGCACGGTCTCTCAGAATATACCATGTGTCACGGGCCTTTAGTTTATCAGTCCTGTTGATCCCGCGAAGTCCAACAAGCTCCAGGTAGTACCAGGCGATAGGCTGGACTGAGGCATTCAGGTCGTGAGAAACTTTGAATGTGTGCATGTGGTGTGTACAACGAAACATGAGTGGTCGCTCGACGCCAAGTTTTCGTGGCGCCTTGGCGCGCATGGCTTGGTTCGAGGAGCGATCTTACTACAGTATCCGGTAGAATTAATGCAAAAGTCAGAGCTAAAAGAGTGGATTTGTTGGTCTGTGCTCGCAGCAACACACCTTTTAAGGGCCAATAGGACTATAGGGTCATGGAGAACCCACTTTCGCAATAATTTTACCAGATACTGTAGAGCCGACTAATAGAATTATAGTTATAATAACGGTTTTATAACAATCCTTTCCGTCAGATGACTAAATTGTAAGGACGTAGCACTAATCTATACACGCATATACCTAAATATGACTTCACCCTTGTACGTTCGGCTGTCAGGCCCAAGGAAAACTCATCTAGCCAACTCAGAAGCAAGGTATAATATGATACCTACAGGAGAAAATGGGATATAAGTTTCACATGATCCATCGGTAACCGATTAATATCACGAAATATCTTCTTTTTATGTATCTGCCGAGCTAATAGATTTTATTCCTCTGTCATTTCGCTTTTGATGAGCGATATCCAGGTAGGGGATATATGTTGGGGCGGCAGATTCCCTGGTTTTCCAGTGTATGTACGTCTGGAAGTAGAGAAATCAGCAATTGGTCGGGCTTTGTATGATGCTATGAGTGAAGCCCTTCTTTATTTCGAGGTTAACCTTTATTGTTTTGTCCCTCTGGTTTCCACCGGCCAACCCCGGCTCGTTCTACTTAACATCTATTCTAACATCTATTCCTAACATCAATCTTGTTACTTATCCGGGGTAATACGTGTACATTGAAGCACTGCTCTTGAAAGCCCCTGCACTGTGGTAATATAAACCGCGGATACCCGGTTCCACCATATCATCCGCTCAATCCATGGAAGAAACACACCCAGCCATGTATCTCGATGGATTATAAGGTCTAAATCTGTTTTTTTTCTCCCTTCTTCTTGTCTAAACTCCTCGAACAGAAATAGGACAGCCACAGATGAAACCGTACTATGATATCACACACCGCGATTTTTTATCAGATCTTGAACGCCGTCCACTCATTCTAAACTTTCCAAGCTTTCCTCTCGACTCTGCAATGTTTATCCCCGGTAGCGCCTCTTCCAGTTTTGACTGAACATGAGCCCTTGAGTTACCTTCACGTTCAGGCTCTAGTCTTTCCTCTTCAATGGCATCTCTTTCTCCCTCTGGTATTGTAGGCCTTTCATTCGATGAAGTATTTACCCTGGACTCCTGAAATAGTCCCTCTTCAACCGTTCCCCCCTCTCTCTTAGGTAAGGGAGATTCCACCACCTCTGAGATTTCTACCTCATATTCGTTCTGTATCGATCTCCCCTCGGCTGTCCTTTCCTCCCCAAGCGTAGGCCTCGCTTCCTGCTCCATTTTGGTCATACTTCCTTCTACTATCACTGCCTGATCTCTCTGTTCGGGCATATTCAATGTGCCAGCACCCATCGTCATCGGATCTACGATCTTTGAGTTTTTTTCAATGACAAGAGAGTCCTCCTTCCCGGTGGTTGTGTGGTCGATAGGTAAGGTTTGGAATTCGTCAATTCCGCTGTCTCGTACCGCGGTGCCCTCGCCCCAACCAATCAATAGGTCCACTACTTCTAAGCATCCAGCGGCAGTTGCTAGGTGCAGAGCAGTCGATCCTTCATTCTCAGTCGCGGTGATATCTGCTCCTCGCTGTAGCAGCAGCTGAACTACATCATGATGTCCTTCCTCGGCTGCTAAATGAAGCGCCGTGTATCCATGGGGACCTTTTTCCATGATATCAGCGCCACGATCCAGCAATAGCTTTACCACCTTCCTATGCCCGTCGGTAGCTGCCAGTGTTAACGCTGTCGAGAGTCCCTCGGTTCTAATCCGGCTATCGGCACCATAATCGAGTAGTAACTTTACTACCTCCGCTTTCCCTCTCGAAGCCGCCGAATGCAGTGCTGTAAATCCATGTGGACCTTTATCAGCAGTGCTTGCTCCCTTCTCCAGTAGCAGCTTTACCACATCAACCCAACCCGCTCGTGCAGCCACTTGCAAAGGTGTAGCAACTCCCGTGCCAGCTCCCGACGCTATATCTGCCCCTTCACATTCTAGCAGAAACCGTACCAGATCTGGGTATCCGTTTTGAGCCGCGGCATGAAGAACGTTATATCCTTCTCCATCAATGGCAGAGATATCCGTGCCCTCATCCACAAGTAACTGAACCAACTCTTTATACCCGCAAGCAGCAGCCATAATGAGGGGCGTGGCGTCGCCAAAGCCTTTTGCCATCTTGTCAGCTCCAGCCTGTAGCAGTAACCGTACAATATCGGTATTCCCCCGCTGAACTGCCCGGTGGAGTGCAGTGTTTCCGTTCTGATCTCTAAAGGCAAGACTCGCTCCTGTCTCGAGCATGCGCTGGACAATTTGCCGATGCCCATGTGCGGCAGCTTCAGTGAGAGCCAGTCCAACCCCTGGAGAAAATACTAAATTAGCGCCATGTGTGAAGAAATTGTTTTCATATATATGGGGCCTTTCTTACTTCTCATGTTAGATTTGATATCTGGTTGACGGGCTCCAACAGAAGATATCATTCGCCCTTGGCCGACCGACGATCTCGATAGGGGAGGTACACTATCGACTTCATCCTGGGTATCCCACGTGTCATAATCATCATCCGATTCATTGCCTGCCTGATTTCCAGTGGGACCTATTGTCGCCTTTTCCTGTCCTGGCCCATTACTCAAATTTGTCTCTCCATCCCAGGTATGATCACCTGAGTTTAGCCATGCGTGATCTAATGCTTGTTTAGCAGTTAGTCTCTCGCCCGGCATGGGTCTCATAAAACCCACGATAAACTCTTCTAGTTCGGCCTCAACTAATCGGTCTCCCGGAAATGTTAACCGCTTAATAAACGCCTCTAGCCCCTTGGTTCCCGGGAACGGCGTCTTCTTCGTTGCCATTGCAAAAATCAGACAGCCCATAGACCACATGTCAACCGCATCCGTATATTCGGAGGTGTCCGTGTCAATAATCCCGAGAACTTCTGGAGCCAAGTAGTCGGGTGTACCGACAATAGTCCTTAAAGCTGTTTCATCTCCTGCTTCTTTCGTGGTGCCAAAGTCTGCAATCTTCACTACCAGGGGGAACCAAGTGACGACCAGAACATTCTTCCCGATGATAGTTAGCATTTCCGCATGCATGAATTGCATAGATTACCGGGTCTTTACACACCTGAGGTTTCAAGTCTCTGTGGCAAAAGCTGAGACTGTGCATAATCTTCAGCCCCTCAAGTAGCTGTATCGTAACCGTCTTTATCTGCGGCTGCGATAGCCCACCTTGGCTCTCGAGGATGAAGGTATGCAAATCGCCGCATGGAAAATATTCCATAGCTAGGTAGATATTCGTATCATCCTGGAACCAGCCGGACAGCTGGACGAAGTAATCTGTGTACTGTGGGTCAATACACGCATGTTAGTATACAAATCAAACATATAAAGATGTTTCCTCACCTGCGTCATCCTAGTCAAGGCCAGCAACTCCCGTATATTCATAGCTGAGTGAAGGACTACCTTCACCGCCCGGACATCCCCATTATCACATTTTTCTTTATACACACTTCCAAAGGTTCCCTTCCCAATACGCTCCACCCTAGACCACCTCTCCACTCGAACCTTCCCTCCGGGTACCGTCTCAGGGATGGTATGTATAAACGATGTGCCATCAACGCTGAACTGAGTGTTTAGTTTGTACGAGTCGAACGCGGTAAACGAGGTGGTCATTTAGGGTGGTCGTTGACACATTCACTGACCGTATCGAAGATGTGGTCGCGTAGCCACATCCTTGTGAGGTGGTAGAGGCTTGGCGGTAGACGCACCGCCACCAACTGACAAATATGAGACTTGACATAACCTTTTGCAAATCACCAGGGCTTACATAATACTTTTTCACCTGAAAGACACAACTCCACCTATTCTTTTTCTTGATGTTGATTCCGGAAGTATACGTATTATTTCCTTCCCTCCCAAATGAAGAAGCCTTAGATTGATATACCCCTCAATCATTTCATACCGTCAAAGGAGGACTACAGTTACCATGATCTACTTTATTTGATATCAGGAGGAGACCCAATCCGAGTGGTCCATTCGCGGGCTCGGGATCGAGTTGTCCTCTTTGAAACTCCAAACATTTTATAGAACAGCAGGTCTCAACACGATCATCATCACAAAAGGTGTAAGAAAGTGCGCTCAGAACCATCAGGCAATCCCCTGGGCGAATTGCCGTAAGTGTAAGGTTGCATGAAATTAATTAATTAAACAAAAAAATCCCCTGGTCGACATCTCTCCAGTCTCCACTCCCGCTTCCTGTGTGGTGTTTACACGCGATACGGAGTTCTCCCAATGAGGATATTTTCCGAGGGTGGATGAGGTCGCAGATTCGAATCCTGTAGGGGCGGTGACCCAGGGGATATTAATCGTGGGTTCTTTTCTTGGCTTGGCATGTGGGATGGTTTCTGCTCCTGGGGAGAGTTTTCCATGTACCCGGCATCCAAATGGGGCATGCGGACTGGTGATGGAGTGTGGCTAGGTATGAGTGCTGGCCTTGAGCTGGTTTGGGTATTCCACATCCTGCTGAAAAGAGCGACTAGTAGGCATAAAAGGTGAAACCATGTACTTATACTGTAGATTGAGTGCTCCGCCATAACTGAAAGGTTGCATGCGAGTATGAATTAAAAAACAAAAAACACGCGATACGGGGATGATGATAGGGATGGATCAGGTAAGCGCCCAGGTGGAAGGCTTTTTTTGTACCATTATTACCGTACTTTCGAGGGTCCTATAAACGCGTTCCCCGATCCCAGTCAACACGGACTAGCTATGTATAATGAATTAAACAAAAAAAAAAAAAAAAAAAAAAGACTACATGTAGCTATGTATAGAGCACCCAGCCGAGTGAGAGCTCATGATGAACCAAACTGACTGAGTATGCCACTCCACACAGTAGTGAAATATCTTCTTCTTGGCTCATCACTCATCTAGATATCGCTTTACAGCGAAGTGTTAGTATATGGACAGCCTGTTCCCGAATTTCAACCGTTCTGTTTCCATGAATATCTGTTTCCATGAATATCTGTTATCACAGGTAGTCACTCGGGCTATATTAGAAGGCTTGGCATTCATTTTACAGCTTCTGCATATGCGTATGTGGTAAGATTATCGTAGAAATATAGGAAGATCTACATATAGCCATTCAAACTTTATTTTCAAGCCCCTGATTCTGCATACCATTGATTGCGTCCGGATCCCGCTTGAGTTTGGTGATATTCATACTCCGAAGCAAAGGGATTGTTACAAACCTATGGGGGACCAGTAATATAATATCTATCATTTATTGGGATCGCTAAGACTTATGTTTCGCTGAATCACATCCTACTACAGATCTATTATATCAGAGCAGGACAGAACTCCGGCTCCAGCACAAAGCGTATGCCTAGATCTAACCTAAGATCTTTACAAACAACATGCTGAGTTCGATCAGTAGCTCCTGACACATTTTCGATGAAGAGCTAAAATTGCCCATGGGTTTGTGCCGTACTATTTTGGCCGGAATGTTCGCAGAGGTTAGTTAGCTTAGCTGATGCTTGATCCCGTATTAGTCGAATACTTGAGTCAATGATAATTTATTAACTAGGTCAGATATCACCACCCAGGTATCCAGGTGACTATTGGTTTTATTAAGTCAGTGGTGTCTTCATAGTACTAATAGCGACGCGACTCCTCGATCCCCCATATCGGAACACATGTATATAGGGGACTACTTATGATGCCAATACCAAAATTAAAAGGGGATGCAACAGATCCTCGATCGATACATTGATTTCCATCGACTCGCGATCTAATTAAATCATTTTATGCTGAGGTTAAGCCGTGACAGTATACAATGATACATCGCCGAAATCTCATAGCATTTTATCAGGTGGGCAAGATCCTGAATACATACATGTAGGTGGCCCAACCCTAGGCAACACTAGACTACTACATGTACTGATGCAAACACGGATCACCGGGGGTGTTCTATATTCCACTCCTCGACAACCTCGACACTAGAAACACGTTCCCACCAATAAATTTACTTTTTTAGTGCGAATGTTGCCAGCCATGTGTTGTGTAATGTTGCAACGCACTCATTTCAATGCTGCGTAAATACACACACACACACACACGTACACACACACGCATACACGCATACACATACACAGGTTTTGACATACATACTTTATCTATAAAGAACCTTTCATCCCGCTCAACAAGCCAAGAAGCAGGACGTCCTAGCCTTGATCACACCGGTGCCAATGAAAGCACAGAACTCAAGAGATACTTTTACTAGCTCTTTACTCTACCCGGTGTTCAAGGCTCAAACAACTCATGAAGTTTAAGTTCCGTTCGAAGAAGAAAAATAGTGTATATACCGGGGGTTAAGGGTAAGTACTGATAACCCCGTTTTGGATAAGTTTTACAAGTGAGAGTTTGAAAAGGACTCTGATTGGGCTGATATACACATTTTGACAATTGGCAGCCAAGCAGGTATTTGGGTAGTGTGTCCCGCTGCTTTTGCAACACAACGCGGCCTCTCAACCTCTTCTCTACTCCTGTTCTTTTCTAACTGCACCAAAACTACTTTAATAACCTCAAATCAGTACTCAAATGTAGCTGTGGACAAGGGCTATTCAGTGGTTATTTATTTGTATTTTTAGGAAAATATTTGGATTTTTAAGTGAAGATAGATAAAACGTTCGGAAACGCCAAAAAACTGGGAGTACATTCTTTTTTTTTTTTTTTTTTTAAATCATGTAGTTTTAATTGATTCTAGGTACAAAACTCTGCATGCAGTCATAGACTATGGCATAAAAATACCTCTCCCCGACTTTAGAGAACCAAATTTCACAACCCTAGATAAACAAAGGAAAATAATGAAAGGAAACAAAGAACGTTGACATGCTGGCTGGCTGACTGCAAGGAAAAACGACGCTTTGGCGGTCCATATCCGACATAAGAAAGTTTCCTGCTGGTTTCAAAAACCTGTTGCCCCTTAAGGGTCTTTTGTGGGTGCGGAATACCCCAATTCTGGGTTGGGTTTCGTGGCGGCTAGGTGGTGGAGGGAGGGGAGCTGAGTGTGCTTGACACCTCAGTTCCGGACAAGAGGGGGGAGATGTGTTCCTTTCTGGGGAAGTTCGTTTTGGTGGTGGTGATGAAGGCTCCTAGAGCTAGTGAGTTGGTGCGGTCGTTCCAGATTTCTTCAAGGGTTTTGATCCCTGGGAGGAGTTGGGTGCGTTGGGTTGCCTTTGCTCGGCAGAAGAGGATGGCGTGTTCCGTGGTTTCAGGGCCTTCGCCGCATCTGTCGCATTTATCGGAGAGGTGGAGGTTGAGCCAGGATTTGTGGCCTCTGAGGTAGCTTTTTTGGGCTCTCATTTGATGGATTCGAGTAGCCGTGAATTTGTGTAGGTCCATGAAGGGTTCAGGGCTTGAGGTAAGGGGGAAAGTGTAGTAGGGGGTGTTGGAAGTCGTGTGCCCAATTGTCTAGCATTTGTTGCTTTGCTAGTTTTGGGAGGAGCTTGTGGTCTGTTCCTCTTGTGACTGGGTGTTGGAGGAGGGAGCAGAGATGTTCGATGGGGAGGTAGGCCACACCCTTCGTTGCCGTTGAGTTCCACTTTTCGGGTGGGTTGGGGCGGCCACGGAGGAGGCGTGTATGAGAGGGGACCCTGTCGGGGTCAGGGTGGGAAGGAGGGGTGGCAGCGCCCTGTCACTGGGTTGTTGAGAGGGTGGGCGAGTAGGACGCGGATGGCGAACTTTGTTTTCAGGTAGTGGATGTAGTTGATGAGTGGGGGGCAGTGCGCCTCGGCCCAAAGGACGCGTTGGTTGGTTGCTCTGAAGCAGCCGGTGGCCCATCTGAGTACAGAATTCCAGAATTTATTCATGGCCTTGAGGGAGCTGGTGGGGGTTAGGACGGATGCCCCGTATGTGAGCATTGGGCGTAAGGCGAGAAGGGCGATTTTCCTACAGTTGGATGAGGAGAGGCCTTTGCCGGGGGAGGAGGATCTCTGAAGGATTCCGAATCTGGCCTGAGCGGAGGCTAGGCGGCGGATGAAGTGAGTGTTTGGGTTGAAGTTTGGGGATAGCCAAAAGCCGACCCATCTGACTTGGTGTCCTGGGTGGAAGACCTGGTTATCAAGGGTAATAGGGAGAGTGCAGGTTGGTGCCTTGTCTTTGGGGGTACGCCAGTGCATGAGCTCGGTTTTGGGGATTGAGAAGGTGGTGTTCTGGGCGGCCGTGATGGTTGTGATCGCCTTGAAGTGTTCTTCGAGGATGTGGATGTTTTGTTGGTAACTGGGGTAGCCCACGGTTATTGCAAAGTCGTCCACGTAGGATAGGGTGAGCCCTGGGGAGGGATCGTGTAGGTGGGGATGTTCATGTATATGACGAAGAGTAGGGGTGATATGGGGGAGCCTTGGGGAACTCCGACTTGAACGGGGGTTGGGATTCTCAGAGAGCCTTTGTAGAGGAGTGTGATGTGCCTGTCTGAGAGGAATGAGAGGACCCAGTTAATGATGTAGGAGGGGGTGGCTTTGGCCGCGAGGGTGGTGGCAAGGGTATGTTTGACTACGTTATCGAAGCCTCTCTTGATGTCGAGGAAGAGGGTGGAGACTTTTAGCTTGGCGTGTTGCATGGCTTTGGTCTCGTGGAGTAGGGTGGTGACTGCATCGGCTGTGGAGAGGCCGGCTACT